GGTCTGAGGGGCGGGGATGCCTGGAGTCCTGACTGGCGGGGGGAGGGGGGGGCTGCGCACGCGCAGAGGGTGTGTGGGGGGGCGGGGCGGACACGTGGGACCTTTCCTCCCTCCTCCCCGGCGGCCCTCCCCTCTCCTCCCTTCTCTCTCTCTCTCTCTCTCTCTCTCTCTCTCTCTCTCTATCTATCTATCTCGTCCTTGGCTGCATTCGAACCTCAGGCCCTTCGAGCCAAACCAATCTGCACTCTTCTCTCTCTTTTTTAGGGCCTAAAGCAAAGGGTTTCAATCACCGTTTTTTCCTGGTAGATTCATCTAATACCACTCGTTGAGGTTAAACCACTCACATTTGCCTCTTGTTGATCACTGAGAGAAAATTGGGGAGAAGAGACAGGGAATAAGGTTACGTGTGCCGAGCTCCTATGAGGTTTAAGCACCAAGGAGAGTGGAAGCAAATCTGGCATTTCCAGGGACCCACACTACCAACATGATGTGGGTCCGTGTACACATGTTGTTAACTGCCCATAATATACGATGGTCTGGCTACTACTAATATTGACAACTGGCCCTGCTTGAACCTTTTTATGTGGACTTTTATGTGGACTCAAGATAAGTTATAATCTAAAATCATCTTTTTAAATAAGGAACTAATTTCAGAGTGATCCAAATCAATTAGAATGACAGATACTTTCTTTCCCCATAGGCCATAGAATCTGTCTCCTAAACCCCAACCCACTTTCATATTATAGGTTGTTATCCCCTAGTGCAGTGGTCGGCAAACTCATTAGTCAACAGAGCCAAATATCAACAGTACAACGATTGACATTTCTTTTGAGAGCCAAATTTTTTAAACTTAAACTATATAGGTAGGTACATTGTTATTAACTTAATTAGGGTACTCCTAAGGCTTAGGAAGAGCCACACTCAAGGGGCCAAAGAGCCACATGTGGCTCGCGAGCCGCAGTTTGCCAACCACGGCCCTAGATTGAGTGCAGAGCCAGCTGCTCAGCTCTCCCTGGGAGCAACACCCTCCCGCTCGGTGCCCAGCCTGCTGAGTGCTCTGGAGGGTCTCCCACCAGCCCCCTCAATGTTTCTCTCTTTCTTATCCCTCTGTTTCCCCCCTCCCTTCCTCTCTAACAGAAAGCACGTATAAACCCAGGTGAACTCTGATCAATGGCAGCAATGTTAGATCCCATAACCTTGTAAACAAGTATGCCCCTGGCGACGCTCTTTGCTGGGCACACGCAAACATCTCCGAGGCCTGACACGCAAACATCTCCGAGGCCTGACACGAAAACATCTCCTAGGCCTGAGGTGTGAACGCAGCTGCAACACGAAATGGCGGGAGGGGTGGAGGCACTGAGTCCTGACCACGCTCCCCAGAGGGAGCCTGAGCTGGGGTCTCCGGGTCCTATGGGAGGTAGAGATTCCTGTGATGAGAAACACTGGGCACCCGGGGGCGGGAGGCCCTCCTCCCAGATAGTCCGTGAACAACCCGGCTCACGCCACCTGTTAGGCCAAACCCAGTCCTCCTGGAGGACTTGCCCCACCCTGGCTCAGAGGTCCAAGCTGGCAGTGTCTTGCCCACCGGCTGGCGGTCCCGGAGGCAGGAGGTCGGGAGGCAGCTGCATGGGCTTCTGGAGCTGAACCCTGGAGACCCGGTCGGACATCTCACCTGCCCAGGCCTGAAAGGTATGTGTGTTTCGCTAGCACCTGCCCAGGCCTGAAAGGTATGTGTGTTTCACTAGAATTCCCTGGACTTGGAGGTGTATTGCGCTCGGTGGTGCCATGCTAAAGGATTTACCATTCAGTGTCCATTAGGAATGTCTTCTGAAAAGAGCTGAGAAATACCCGCTCGTAAAGAGCACGGCACTCTTTTTGCCTCCCCTTCCCTCCTCTAGTTTTTGCACTATCACGTCTTTGCAATGTTCCAGTTCTCCAGGCTCTGTGGGCCCAGGTCGGGTCAGAGAACTGGGGAAGGCGTCAGGCTGTTGTCTGCTGCCCCTTAGTCTTTTCATGCTTGTAGGTGCGGCTCATCCGGCCCCGGTGCTGCCCGCCCACCTGAGGGGTTGTGTGACAGGAAGGTACCCTGAGCTCGGGGAACCCAGACCTTTTTTAATGGACTCAAGAGCACCTGCCTGAACTTTGTCCCAAGGGGAGACATTCTCTATGATACTGGATAGTAAGCCACCCTGCTCTCTGCTCTGGAGGGAGACACCATATCTTCCAAACTGTTTACTGTGTAAACATCCAGGAAACACAGTCCGGAATGGAAGGGCCGTTGGTGCCTTGTGTGTTGAAGATGGCAGAAATGCACCATGCCCATGAAACTGCCTCCTGACTCTGTATCCCAGGTCACTTCTCTGCGTGTCTCTGTGACATGCCAAGCAATGTTCTAGGTGCTACAGAACATAAGCTTACAGACATCCTCAGCCACTCCCCCAGGGGACCTGTCATTCCTATGGGACAGGCCAGGAGCCTGAGACTTGGAGAAAGAGAGTTTCTTGTTTGGATACAGACAGCGAGTGCCGCTGTGGGGTTCCACCCCGGCTTCTCCCACTCCGGTGCCCATGCTTCCAGGGCTGTACGTGCCACTCCAGCACCAGCCCCCCGCCCCTCACCTTCCATGGGATTTCATTGCCAGCTAAGGGCTCCACAGGAGCAGAATATAACATAAAGGCCTCATGCAGAAGGTGATTAGATAGCAGTTACAATACAGCAGTGATTATTATATAGCAACTAGTGTCCCAGTGCACAGATTCATGCATGTTGAAAGGGAATTAATTAGAATTCCTGGGGCAGCACCACGGCTCAAAGGGCATCTGCAGAGTAGGGGGGAGAAAAAGAAAGAAAACTCACGCTCGGGTCTCCCTCCATTGCTGGTTCTAAAGTCTCACTATACGATGTACCAGGTGGAACAAAACCTGTTCCCAGAGTTGTCACTCTTTTCGTAAAAACAAAAAATAATCTCTTAATAATTAGTGGCACTCATTAGTGCTGTAAGCAGATGGCTTTCCATCCTCTTCCCACTTAAAGCAGAATGTGGGTTACATTTTAATTCCCCAGGTGCCCTGGTCTCCGTGCGCCTTCAACCTGAAATGAGTTAAGATTAAGTGGAACATGTGTGTTCACATAGAGGTAAGCATACAAAGTTCCCGCGACCTGTTTCTTTTTTTCTCTCCTTGTTTCTATTATATGAATGCAGTGTGTTTATGCATGTTATGAGTATAGGCTGTGTACATCTGTGACAGCACAGATACACGCTCACAGCACAGATACACGCATACACGCTCACAGCACAGATACACGCTCACAGCACAGATACATGCATATTTCACACATTAGTGTTTCTGATACCAGCGTGCTGCTTACGTGGGTTTGTATATTCAGTGATGGGTTTCTTCCTCTGAAAAAGCGATTGTTAATGGATGGTGCCTGTTCCAATGGATAATTTATTGAGCGGTTCCTGAGGAGCTGTTTAGTTAAGGAAGTGGCCGGTTGAAAAAAAAATCACCTAGTTTATCATGGATACGGACTTTTCAGCGGAGTTGCGCCCCTGCATCACACTGCTCTCCCCGCAGACTTCTGTGCGGGAGGAGAGGCAGAGCCGGGTCTGGCTTCAGCGTGGCCTTCCCTGGGCTGGCGAGTCCTCCTCCGAGGACGCTGCCGCCAGCAGCCCGGTCCTCCCCTCACATCACAGACATCGTTGTTGGCTTTAAAGCCACTTCACCTCTGGCCGCGCTCAGACCAGCAACGTCAGGATGAACAGATGGGAGACTTGTGCTGACAGGGTCAGGAAGGAGCCCGCGTCCCCCGAAGTTTCCAAGGTGACCCCACCACTGCAGGGGGCACAAATGGCAGGTGGGGGTCTGATTGTTTTCTGAATATTTTTCAAGCTCAGATTAGATCTTGGGAGATAAACAATTTAGCTTAAGCTCAGCTGTTTTGATTTCTTTTTAAGAAATAAGAGGCACATTCCCGGGCTCGATCCCCAGTGTGGGGCGTCCAGGAGGCAGCTGATCAATGATTTTCTCTCATCATTGATGTTTCTACCTCTCTCTCCCTCTCCCTTCCTCTCTGAAATCAATAAAAATATATTTTTAAAAAATTCAGCTTTATTGCAGTATAATTTACATTATGCACAGCGATATGCATACATTTTGAGTGTACAGTTTTGACAAATACACATACCTGTGTAACCCCCCCCAATCAAGATACAGACATTTCCATCACCCTGTAAAATTTCCTCATACTTCTTTGCAGTCAATTCCTCACCATCTGAGGCAATCCCTGATCCAATTTCTATCACTCAAGATTAGTTTTGCCATCTTTTATGTGTTTGGCTTCTTTGACTCAACATGTTTCTGAGACTCATTCATGTGGTTGCATGTATTAGTAGATTGTTCTTTTTTCTTGTTAAGTACTCTTTTCATTGCATGGGTAGACCATAATTTATTCTTTCACAAGTTGTTGGACATATGGAATGTTTCCAGTTTTTGGCTATTTTGAATAAAGTTGCCATGAATATTCTTGTGCAAGTCATTTTGTGTACACGTTGTCATTTCCCTTGGGTAGATATCTAGATGTGGGTTTGTTGAGTCAAATGGTAAATAAAAACTAACTTTATAAGAAACTGCCCAACTGTTTTCCAAAGTGACTTTACGCTCCCTCCAGCAGTGTATTCGAGTGTCAGTTGCTCCACATTCTCTTCCTCACTTGGAACTGACAATCTTTGTAATATTAGCTCCTCTGATAGGTGTATAGTGGCATCTTATTATGGCTTTTATTTTCCTTTTCCAGAGGACTTATGATATTGAACATCTTTTCATGTACTTACTTTCCATTTTTCTGTCTTTGGAAATGAAGTCCTTGTCCCTTTAAAAAAAAATGGGTTGTCTTATTGCATTTTAAAAGTTTCTTTATATATTTTGCACATAAGTTCTTTGTCAGATACATGAATTGCAAATATGTTCTTTGCAGTAGTTATAATCCATCAGGAGACAGCTGTGCAGATGGAGATACTTAGGAGTTCTTGAAGTGTTTTAGGGAAAGATAAAAAGAGGAGGAAACAGGGAAAGCCCATACAAGGGATCTGGAGAGTGCTGAGCGAAATAAGCCAGTTCAAGAAAGACAAGTATCCCATGATCTCATTCATATGTGGAATCTAATGAACAAAATAAACTGATGAACAAAATAGATCCAGAGACACAGAAGCATGGAACAAATTGGCGAATCTCAGATGGAAGGTGGGGAGAGATTAACCAAATGATTTATATGCATAACCCACAGACACAGATAATAGTGTGGATCGCCTGGGAGTGTGGATGCGGAGTGGAGGAGGTCAATGGGGAAAAAAAAGGGAACATCTGTAATAGGTTCAACAATAAAGATAAATTTTTAAAAAAGGGAAGGGGATGCTGATCTTATCCCTACAATGGGAAAGTGTGTGGGGGGGAGGGGGAGCAGGATTGGGCTGAGGAAGCTTCAGATTGGTATGTAGATCTGACAAAGTCTCGGCCAATATAAAAGCGGGCTTTGGGGCAAAAGGCAAAGAGAAGTTCTGTGCTATGCACACAAGGCCTAGCCCTGGTACCCCTGCCATGCTTAGTTATTGGCTGGGGCATGACTTTGTAGAGTGTGACCTTGGTTGGAAATCTGAGGCGGATTTCCACTTAGTCCTGTAAATGCTAACAGCTGGAGGCTGACAGCTGTATGCCTTTGCCAGGAACAAGATGATCTTTCAAGGTCCTTTCAAATGTGATTCTATTTTTTTTCCAAAATAGCGTTTCTTTTTAAAATGAACTGTAAATAACGGTGACAACCCCCTGTACAAATTTTGGTGTCACAGTGCGAACTTACTCAAAGTATTTAGAAACTTATTGTGCAGTTCAGTATTTCTTATATAAATACTCTATGATGAGGAAGTCAACCTTTAGCATGCACTAGATTTTTTTCCTATTCTGTTTATCCTTCATCCTGTCTTTTCCTTCAAAGGCTTTCAACAATTCTTTTTTATGTCCTTCTATCTCCCATCTCCTGCTATGTTTCATTTTTTATCTCAGTTTCCTACACCTTATTTGTGCCTTTTGTAAACTGCTATTTGGTAGTTGGTATAATAAACTCTAAAAGGGCACAGACCTTTTTCTTGGTTCCTTGTCAAAGTTTCTAGCATATTGGCTTTAATCATTAAATCTCTGGCAACCAGCCAGCAGAATTCCTGATTTCTATGTGTCAAGGGAAGTAGTTTTCCATTTTTCCTTGTCCCTTCTAAACTTTCCTATCTTCTATGAACTTCAGTGCTATTCGGTTGACTAAGTCTTTGGGTGTCATCTTTTAATTTTAATATGTTTTCTCTAAGGCTGTATAATATGTATTAAAAATATAATTGTTGCTAGTGTTGAAAATGATGGAAGAACATTCAAAATATGGCTTCTAAAGAGAGGGCTTTTACAGCAGATAGGTTGATCCTGGGTAGAGTTGCCTTTATTTTAAAGTATTGTGTCTACAGAAGACCCCAGTTATAATATAGCTGTCAAAGCTATGAGGAAAATTATTAGTCCAATATGGAATGTTTGTTGAGTATTAGATAGGATGAAGTAGAAATATCAGACAGGAAGGTTGATTGGTGTTTCAAAAGGCCAATTGATGGACAGCTATGTCTGAAGCATTTAAGCATGTTCAAATCTGTCTTATATTTCAAAAATGCCTTCCTCAACTCCAAGCTCTCCTTTGGCTACTCTGGGGGGTGGGGTAGGGAGAAATATCAATCAATTGTCTCCTGTATGTGTCCTGACCAGGGATCAAACTTGCAAGCTAGGTATGTACCCTGACTGAGAACGAAAACTGCAACCTTTTGGTGTATGGGAATGATGCTCCAACCAACTGAGCCACCTCACCAGGGCTACTAATATTTCTTGAAGAGACTATCCTTTTCCCACTGACTATTCTTGGCTCCCTTGTCAAATATTACTTTAGTGTATATGTGGGGGTTTATTTCTGGCCTCTCTAAACCTGTTTC